TTTGCAAAATCCCTAAATCTCTCCTGTGAAGTCTCAAATGCCTCTTTGCGGCTATAAACCTTTGGGATTGAGACCCCAAGGCCCCCACAGCTGCGCCGGACGCGGATTCTTCGGCCAAAACCAGCATAATTGCCTCCTCCTGGGCACCATCTCTCAGCAAAATCCCTGCAGAGTCCAAAAGAGAGATACACGTCATTACGTTCTACTTGTTAGACCTAAGATCCCTTTGAGTACCCATTGTTGCGAGAAAAAGCCCAATGCTTCCCCCTGCACTGCTTGTTGTCAGAATGAAATCCGCTGCGTTATCACTTACTACTTGGTGCCATAGAAAGACGATTTGGAGTAGTGCAGGCTTGCCCTACAGGCTGCTGAGCAGCCTGAATTAACTTGTGTGAGCGTGAAGAAGGTCACTATGATTTGCACCTGAGATCAAAGAACTCTTCGGCAGAAGTCGTGCCTTCCACTCATGACCTTTGCTGATGTTTGTCTACTTTGTGAGCATACAAGCGACAAGGACTGGCTTTTTCGTCTCCTGAAAGCTGTGCAAGGCGCAGGCATCACAGGGGGATGCAGCAGGCTATTGAACAAGGGCCAGCTGCCCGCACAAGGCATGCAGCTGTTCGTGGCTCTGGCTGGCTGCAATTCAGGGCAAAGGGTTGCCGAACCGCAGCACTCACCACGTCGTTTTCCATCCAAGGTAGGGCATATAGTCCAACTTTGCCATGCGCTCTAGCCCTTGATGCCAGTCCGTTTATGCATCGTCTCGTACGGCTCAGTTGCTTCGATGCCGGGTGCTTTCTGTGGGCGCAGTCGTCGTGATGAGGTCGATCAGAGTCAGAGCCTTATCTGCCCAGGCCGCGGTGAACGAAACATGAAGCAAACAGGGCATAACAGCAATGTAGCTATGCACTCTCGCGACGTTCATGGCTGAGTAATCAAGGGCAACACAGGCAAGACGAGTCGCAACCAATGATCCGGGCAACGATCAATTGAAAACAGTAAATTACCCTTTGCAGAAGACATCTACTTCGAAACCTGAAGGCTTAGAAGCAGCAAAGCAGTAGAAAGATGCAACTGCTCACGAAACTCCCATTCGGACCAGAGGAGCTTGCTGTCCCGAAGGAAAGAGATCACTGCCTTGCCGACAACTCTGCGCTCCAGCACAGTACGGAAGGCCTCCTGCGCCTCCTGCACCGGTAGCTTACAATAGTACTAGCGGGAGTAACAATTACAAGAAATCACTTCTAGCAGTCAGATGGAGGTTGCTGATGTTTCTATTTATCTTGGGGCGCTAATCGGATCCATGACTGTGTCCTGCTCACTGACATGCCTCGACATTATAATCATAGAATGAAAGAAACAATTCATAGATTTTCGGTTCCTGTTGCTACTACAAACCATGCTCCAGCTCGGTGATATGTTTATATTGTTGCATTAGTGGCATTATTGCGCTGCATTTGTCTCCTGAATGCTGGAGCAGCTTACACAGATCAATTATATTGCGGTTCATGTGACTCTGTTATCTAAGCGTTAGGGTACCGCTTTAAACACCTCTGGTTCCTGTGATTACGTGGTGTCTGCAGGCGGGTGCTGCTCACCGATCGTCACACACTCGCGAATAGGGTATCATATGGTATCATGCAAATAACGCAAGAGGCCGCGTAGCAATCACCAGACTTTGTGCCCCTGCTTTCAATCTAGTGGACTCCTATGAAGGTTGCTGTGACTTCGAATTCTTAAGAGTACTTACGAAATCGACAATGTCCTACGTACTCCAAACCTGGGACATCCATATGATCCAACGCAAAAGGATCACATGTGCTGTTCCTCCAACTTATGTAGGGTGGCTCGTGTATGTAGCCTCTCAAAGAACTTAATCCACGTTGTAGACGACTGCCAAAGAGGGCCCCCGATTTTCACGAAACCCCCCCCCCTCCCCCCCCCGGCAGGGGACTAGAGCATCCCAACGATTAGCCTCGCGTCTTGCTAGCATGACATAAGCTGGGAATGCGGGAGCGTCGCTGTAAGTATAGCATGACATGCACGCCTTTATTCCCTACGACCTGCTGCTGGAATGACCCTAAACAGCTGGACCCCTGGAACAGTGTTGGTAGCATGCGGGGCCATGCAGGTTTTCGTTCATCAGCAGTAAGACATGCTAGTTTCCAAACAACGCGGGACCCAAATAGAGCAACATTTTCTTATTGCCTTGTTTCAGTCCCCCCAAAAACGCCTCCCAAATCCCCAAGTCTCGGAAACCCCTACATACCCTAAACCCGAAGCCGTAAACCCTAAACCCTGAACCCTAACTGCGTGAGTTAGGCCCTGCCTCGACTCTGACGTTATGCGAAACATGGGGACAGATCTTGCCAGCCGCCACCCAGTCCAGAAGCCTGAGCCAAGATCTACAAAGAAATATAGGGGTTGTTTTTCTTACGTATATATAAGGGTGGTTAGGGTTTAGGGTTCTGGGTTTTGGGTGGTTTAGGGTTCGGGATGTTGCCTCCATTTTTGGATAATCAAGCCGAAAAGAAAATCAAACTTGCCACGAAAATTGTGTTTCTAAAGGGGTTTACAGGGACTAGCGGTTCCGAAGATTGGAGGACCTTTTTGGGGAGTTCTATAGCCAAGAGTATAGTGCATTGCGATCTATCCTGGGGCCCCCAGTTTTGGAAGCCTCCATGTGTGGGTGGCTGAAGATCCTGTTAGTATGCTAGAATTCTCCAGTTAAAAAGCTACTAGGGTCATACGGGATTCTAGCATCAATTGCAGGATGGCTTCTGGAGGTTCCTGTGGTTTCTCATGGCCGGCATGTGTTTGTTGAACTTCTCATAATGAGTTTTCCCGACGATTGGCGGCACAGTCACGATCATCTAGTTGGATCTAGTATGGCGAAGATGTATCTGAAGCATGGCGAGGTTTGGGCCGCAATTGCAAAGCATGAACACCAAACATCAGCCACAGTCAGCCCTCACCCGCCAGAAAAGTGCGAGCTCAAATGAGCTATAGTCTAAACTCGCAGTATCCCCCTTAACAACCCCTCTAGAAATCAATCCTCTATATAACCCCCTTTAAGGAGTTTAGACTAAAGCTCAAATGTTGAAAGTAGCCGGTGAACTTTTGGACTTCCGTTGAGCTGGATCTTCCATTCCCCAACTCGAGCTGAAACTGGGTTGCTGTTAAGGAACCTAAATTAAGTTACCATAGTGGGTATACATCGTAATGAATATGGTTTCCTAATATACTAACTTTAAATTAAGTTCCTTGACAGCAGCCTGTTTTGGAGGTTCTCTCATGCTGCAACTGGCGGCTGCTTCATGCGGGGAGCGTGCAGGTAAGGGTCGCGACCTCGATCGCCAGGGAAGCGGCATGTGTGGCGGGCTCTGCTCAGTCAGTGGGGCCTACATATTGAGGTAATATATGGGTTATATTGGGGTAGTATATGGGTATATATGGGTAATATTGGGCTAAGCTCCCAACAACACACTGTTTTCTGTTCTATTGTTTCGGAGAAATCTGGGATTACATCAGGGAAGGGTATTTAAGAAGATGAAGATCTCTGACGGCTGTGGGCAAAAGATGCCAAGAAAACAGCTCCAAAGCAGCAAAAGATGCCTCGCTGCTCCGAGTTGCTATTCACACATTGCAGGTATGACTACTGCATGATTACTATCTTGTCGATAGCATTGCCCGCCATGGTGCTTCTTACCATCACAGCTTTCCCACCCAAGGAGTCATGCATTAGTGCTAGGAGCAAAAACTGTAAGTTATACCCACGGAACAACCCAAAAGGAAGAAACCCCGACCATCTGCAAGTACCTCGACTATGCCGAAGAAGCCCTGATAATCGTGCAAGTAAAGCAAATTGGTGGGCCCTTGAGGACCCTAGGGATGTGCGCAGTGATTATGAAGGGATTTGCAGGGATCGTTATTCAGTATTCCATGAGAGAAATTTTGCGACATGCCCCCACAGGCGGTCATGAAGACTACTACTGGCTCAGGGTCCCACGGACGCTTTCGCCTGCACGGCAGCCCATGATGGTCAGGCCCTTGATCAATGCCTTTTGGAGACGTAGCTTTTAAATTTAGGGTCGCAGGCTTTTGGCTTTAAAGTATACCTTAACCTACCAAAACCTACTGTTTTGTAGGTTTCCTATACATTCGATACTAGAGAATTATAGTAGGACCCTACAAAAAGTAGGTTTTGGTAGGTTAAGGTAGGGCTTAGGGTGTGAATTTGCAGGCTTCAAGGGTCGACAGAAGTAGACTCCCTCTTCAGGGCTCTGGAGAAGGAAGGCTGGTATACTCGTCCCTATGATTACATATATAGTCCCCCTTAAGTAGATAGAGTATGGGGTATATGGGGATGCTATCTAAAAATACCCAAAGCCATATCCTATCTACTTGAGGGGGACTATAAATCCCGGCTATATCTTCAACACTCATTTCCCCCTCCCAGCCAAGCATGAGGAAAGATTAAAAGCCTTTGTTCGGCAAGGTCCAGTATCTGCATTCAGTGGCCCTACCCGTCCCTAGAATTGCTTTAGGGTAGTGTTTTTTAGCGCCCCCTCGGACTTTTACGTCTGCTGCATCAGCACGGGGTCTTGCTTGCCCTCCTCCAAAAACACCCTCAGTCACGCGTCTGAGGACCCTTGTCAACTGAAGCGGGCCCCCAGGGTAGGGGTTTCGGGCTTAGGGTTTGGGGTTTAGGGCCCAGACTTGAGGGCGCACTACTCCATCCCAACAGCTTGAACCACCTGTTTCCCTCAACCTCAGGCCTCGAGCCTGAATGGCTACCAAACCTGGCTAAATGGCGGTGGAAATACTCCCCAAGCTTCTGGAAAAGAACAGAAGCAAAGATCCGGAAACCAGCGCGACGATGTCATGCTCACAGCAAAATCATGTATCCTCAATGTGGGCAGAAATAGGTATCTCAAACGTAAGTACTCTGGCGGTACAGACATCGTGGGCGACACAGAAATCTGTTGTAGCCGGGGTACATAATTTGCGCGAATGCTTGGATGCTTTCCCGAAGCAAAGCCGACCACCAGAACCCGCGCGCCCCAGGCCGTGCCACGCAGGGACTCGTCAAAAACCTCGCCTCCAATTGTATCGAAGACCACATCCACACCTTGGCTGGTTGCTTACCGCCTACAGCTAGCATAACCAGAAGAATGGATAGGGCTGGGCAATGTTGATGCGTACCCCATCCTCCTTCCACGAAGGCAGATGCTCCAGGTGTCTAAAGGGGGTTTTGCAGAAGCAAGCGAGAAGCTGCCCTACTCCATCGCTGACTCTGTGTAGGATCAAACAAAATAGCCCTGTGCACCGGCAGCGCTGGGCGTTCCTGATTAGAAGATGCGTGTCAGGCAAGCCTGGGCGTCACCTACCTGCATGTGCCCGTGAACACATGCTGTGGAAAAGGAGCAAGGACTCAGTTTAGGAAGCAGTGACAAGGGCAAGCATGGTCACAACACCACAGACAAAGGACAAAAAACATTATCAAAACAACAGTCCAACAGCGTAAGGCACAAGCTAATGAACGGAGTCAATTGTGTGGGCGGGCTTGCTGAGGCCTTGAAGCCAAACAGTGCGCGTACCAGTTCTGTAGATGCTCTATACTACAGGCCGCACGCGGGTCATCACAATAAACGCCCAAACTACATAGCGTCGTACAGGCCTTGCCAGGCTGCCACAAACTCATGACCTTTGTTACAGGTTACCAGTGACCTTAGAAATTGTGCTTCATCCCATCGGCTCCCATGTGTAAGCTCGTGGCCACGGCCGTTGGTCTGCGCTTTCAGTGCCGTTGCCAGCGAGACTTCCTCCTGTTGTAGTAGTCGTGATCGTACTACTAGGATTAGTCACTAATACTCCAGTACATTCATCTCTATTCGTATTACCATTTTCCGTGGTCGTAGGAGCGGCGACATCAGCACCAATGCTCATCAATTAAACATCTTTCAGGGGATGTATTCGTCCTTTCCCGTTCGCAAATTCTGTCTACTTGATGATGATGATGGCAACCGCTACAGAGACCCCAGTGCTATTCCTACCAGTTCTCGGGTAGATCCCGCTTAAAACCCTGAAAATCTAAATCCCCAAACCGTAAACCTGAAGACCAAAATCCCTGTTCCCTCGAACCTCCAGGTTGAGGCAGCAAGTCGCACCATGGCGCGCTACCACTGCCTTGGCCAATTATAAATCATGGAAGATGATACCTAGCAAGCATGGCTTGCTCGATTCGATTTTGCATGGGTAAGTATGGAAAGGGAGAGAATAAGTACCATTTTATGTTGTAGTCTCCATGCATGGTGGTTTCAGACAGGTTAGACTTGTGCTTTTTACTTAACTGCAGACAACAGCCGGAAGAGCAATGAACATTCCAACCACGAGCCCAAAAACCTCCATGTGCCCAAAGAAAAACGCAGGCTCCATCCGTTCAATCCTACCCCATGTTGCTGTTAATGCTGCTATTGTCGTTGCTACTGCTTGTATTGTATGCGCTTATTTGATCTTACATTTAGCTCATCTTTGGTTCTCACTACGAGAGTAACAAGAACAATAACTTGATGACAACAACTACCGCCACCTTTGCCGCCGCCAGAGCCCTACCACTACCACTACTCCTCCTCCTGCTGCGCCTGGTGCCTCCCCGACTTCAACGGTCAGCCCAGGGGCAAGCTTTTCACTACCGCGGCCAGTGGCAATGATCTGGCGGCAGTTCAGTGCACGTGCTACCTCCAGATGGGGTTTTAAGGGTCGCGGCAGTTCATGTGGGCGCATTATAGCTTTCAGAAAGCTTTTCACAGGCTGGTTTAGGGCTTGTACAGTGCTCTGGAATCTCTAGAAAAATCTTGTGCAATCCTGAGACCTAGAGACTTGGCACAGGCTTCTCTTTTTTTAGATCGTGCATGTCGTTGGCTCATTGACATGTCCAAAATGATCAAGTCTACGTTCCTTGGTTGACACAACCAACGTTCTCAGGGAGATGTCAAGGCTGTCCTGTCAATTTAATGAGCACGCCTGGCTTTGTCATGGGGCTACTACTGCTGATAATAACAATCCTGCAGAACCTCGATACACTATGGTACAATGATTCCCGATGTATAAGGTACCTAGGGTCATGCAGGATTTTAGTACCGAGTGCGTCCCCACAGGCTGGAAGGAACGCAGGTTCTCTGCCTGGGGCTTCAGCCCTGCCTCCGTAACCTGAGTTCCTCACACCAGCTTTGCGAATTTCCTAATTTCTTTCGGGAAGCCCAGGGGAATGCCAGTTCGAAAGAAGCCGCTATGCCCTCACAACTCCCTACCCTTTATCCCTAAGCCCTTTGGGTGGCCCTGCCTGGACAGCTGCCAGACCCACGCCCCCAGTTGCCCCGTTTACCTCGGTCTGTTTAAGAAGAATGGGGGTTGTACGAGCGTTTTATAGGGAGCTAAAGGGATTAGACCGGGGTATGTAAGGCTTAGGGTGTACGGGGCCTAGATACTTAGAATGGCGGCAAAGCAAATGGAAAGGAACGCGCAAAAGCAAATGGACCCAGGGCTTGCATAGAGGTTTGCAGGGGATTGGATGGTAACTCAAGGGACTGAGAATAAGGTTTTGAGCTACCTCACGCTAGAACAATGTAAGGGTTATGACGGACTAGCATTTGTATTTCTTCAGGCTTCCAATTACACTGCTTGAGGCGTGTTTTGTGTTTGGTGTCTGCACGCGGCAGGTTTTAATTCTTCTCGCATGAGACTTAAGTACTAGAACCAAAGGAAGACTACAATGTATGCCGGGCACGATAGTATCCCCAATGTGAGATGCTGCCCCTTTTGGGCTCAGGGTAGTGGCGCAGGAGCGCCGGCACCGTAGCCATTGATGGAACATAGCTAAGAGCAGGTGATATGCCAACCTTCTGCCAAGCTTGCATCTCTTCGCCCGTCAAGTCAGGCTCCATCAAACCCCTTCAGCCCAAAACGTCAGCGACGAACCGTCATCGCCGCGTTCGAATTCGTAAAAAAGCCTCGTGCAAGCAAACAGCACACAAACCTCAAAAGCCTACGGCAAAGCTCTCCACAGTCACTTGTCAGCTGCACCTCAACACTAACCTCAAAACCCCATCATGAATAGGAAGCAAAAACTATGCTTCCCTCAAAGTGGCGGCGGGGGAATAAGGACGAGGGTGTTTGTCAAAAGCCTCCCTGTACAAGACAGAACAGGGACTCTCAAAGTCCCAATGTATCTTTGGAATGTCTAGGGGAATACAATTGCGAGAAGCTGGCATAGAATTACCTGGATAGAGCTAATTCAATTGGATAGAATCTGAGTGGTGTCCCATCATGTCCCATCTAATCTTGCCCAACTAACAAGGTGCCAGCACGCAGTCTGCCGCCGTGGCCCGGGCCTCGGCATTGAAATTATAAGGCTACATGTGTATATATATATATACACACTATATGCATATGTATATATATATGTACACTATATATGTATATACAGTGGATGCGGGCTCAGT